GCTTGAGCTTCGCCGCAAATACACGTATATTCTGTGTGAATGGGCAGCAAGGCACGACCAACTGCAAAAACGGCGGTCTTAGGGTCGAGTCGTGTTCCCATTTTACCGATATGGAGAACTGTTTGGGGGAAGTCCCCGAAGTGAGGTGCGCTCAACAGCCTGGAGACGGGCAATCTCCCTATCTGATGTAGCAGCCCTGAGCATGTTGGCAAGCAACCTTTCAAGCAATCGGCGGGCCATCCCACTTGTACTGTTTGTGAGCCAGAGCTGCCCTAAGGGATTTTGGTGCTGGAGCAGCAAAGTCCTCCATTCAGTGATGGCACTGGTATAGCTAGGGTCTTCTATTCCTGGTGATCACTCAGGTATCCAGGAGAATTTGTCTTATCAAACGTCTTTAGATGCTGTGGAAGAGGATAGGAAAGCTGGTAGAGCAATCTGGGAGGATCTGCGTACTCCTAGCCCCCAAAGCCTGACCGGAAGTGAGGCTTGCACCAACCACTGTCATCTTCACGGGAAAGATTCAATACACTCCTTAGCATGGTCTTAAGGAGAGAGTAATAATTCCTTGAGTTTTGGACTGCTGAAGGCTGGGGAGCATCTGAGAAAGTAGGTAGTTTTTGATTGACATGCGCTGTTGTGTAGGTAGAAGCATCGAGTGTGTCAATGGTTTTTTCATCCTGCTTTCCTCGTCCGGAAAGTCTGAGACTTTTTTTTTCTAGGATCAGATCGAAAGCATTGGGACCCAAGAGGAGCACAAGGAAGTGCTAATGGCTGAATCAAACGCTCGTGCTCTGTATCATCGTTAAGTGTAGAAACTATTCCACATTTGGTGGTTTTTAAATAAAAACCCAGGCATTCTCCCATGTCTTTAATTTTACTTTATGTCATCACTCATGAGAGAATATATGTGTGTAATATATATAAATATATATAAAATATAATATATATATTATATAAATATATATAATATATTATATATATATAAAATATATTACAAAATACATAATATAAATATAATATATTATATATATAAATATATATATATATATATATAAATATATATATATATATAATATATATCATAAATATATTATAACAACACATGTATAACAAATATAATATAACAAACATATTCCACAAACCCAGGATATATATTTTTTTTCTTTAGGTTTCACAATGAGATTAGGCAAAATTATTGCAGGAATTAATACAGAAAAGTGGGTGCGGCAGGAAGAAGAGCGATGGTGGAATGATAATGTAAAGGAGAGAGTAGTAAGGGAGAAAATGTTAGCATGTGAGAAGTTTTTTACAAAGTCGAAGTGATCCAGGAGGGAAGAGATATGAGAATAAAAAGAGAGGTTAAGAATGTGGTGGAAGCAAAGTAAAAAGAGATCAAATGAGAAGTGAGTGAGAATGTTACCAACAAAATTTTGATTGAAAATAAGAAAAAGCTTTGGAGTGAGGTAAAAAAAGTTGAGGAAGCCTAGGAACAAATGGATTTGACTGTTAAAAAATAGGAGAGGAAGTTTTTATTAAGTGAGGTTTAGAGGTAATCGAAAGATGCAAGAAATATTTTGAGGAAATAGTTTAAAATGTGAAGAAGATAGAATCTGTGATTTTCATGTATAGGACAAAGAGTGAATAACAACGTTGTAAGAGTGAGGAAGATGCCAGTTGTGAATGTGGGGGAAGTTCGTGGCAATGAGTAAATTGAAAGTGCGATGCTTTAGGACTGACCTCACCCTTACTTTTTCCAATGCATTAATCGACTCTATTCAACAAGAAGCCTGTTGGTAAACGAAATGCCCCTACAAAAAATACCAAAGTGTTGCACATGTGTTTTTATGCATCAAGTTTTTCTGGTGCTTCTTGTAACCTCTCGGGGATGCTCTAGGGGATTATTTATTTGATACCACGTTTTCCCTACCACTAATAATTAAAGTCATTAAAACTTTATTTTTTTCAAAGGGAAAAATGGTTTCAGTTATTTACAAAAATCTTTATTTTATCAAAATTATATTAGGATTAAAAACCCCCGATTATGAAAAACACACAAAGTAGAAGGGAAAACTTTCGTCATAAACATTTTTTGTGTAAGGCATGACCTAAAAACCCTTTTTTAAAAGGGGAAACTCTGAGTAAAAAAACCCAGGATTTTCCTTACCACACTATCACAACATCAATCCCCCCCTTTTTTTTTTGGGGCTTGTTGATGTTAAATTTCCCTTTTTAAAAATACCGGGCAGTTCATCAACCTGGAACACGAAACAAAACATTATGGATCGTCAATAGCAAAATTTAAAAAAAAAATTATTTTATTAAAACGTTTTTATGTGATTTCCGGGAAAATTAATTTTCAAAAAAAAATGGAATAAACCCCTGCAGGTGAGGGGGATAAGAGGATTACCAAGCAAAGGTGCGCTGGCGAGATGGGATGTTAATCTGTTGATGTTAGTTACCCCTTTAACACACTCCCTAAGTACAAGCCCCTACAAAAAATACGAAAAAAAATCAACGATGGGAACAGCCCCTTCAAGACAGTTACCGCCCCTTCCCTCCCATCTGTGGACCATCTGAGTCAAGGTAGCTCTTTTTTCTTAACCGTCCTGTCTAATAATTCTTGCCTTGTTTCTGATAAAACCCTCGTTCTTAATCCCCTTTCCCCATCAAACCTTCATTTTTTAAATTTCCGGGTATTTTCCCTTTAAAATTTTAATTTAATAACAGAAATTTTTGCTTAAATTGGGCTAAAATCGCGCAACGCCCCTCTAAATATTTTAAAACCGATTGTAAATGATTATATCCGTCCCTCGATTAATATAAAATTGGTTAATACGTTTTTTTCTACGTTTTTCCCCCCCCAAATTTAAACCCTGCAACATCCCCTGCGCTTCTACCATAACGATCCCACAAGCCCAAAAAACAAAAACTATCCTCTTTCCTTTTAAAAACTTTTCATTTCATTTTTCCAAAATGAGGACCCCCCCGAGGCCCAACCCTCGATATCTACATCTATAAAACCCCTCCCCTAGATCCAAAAAACCACACTATCACATTCACCCTCCGCACATAACCGCACAAGGGGGACGTACATTCGGTCCAACCCGCCGCATAACCTCGTTTAATGAAGGTATTTCTCCCATCCCTCCCCCACCACACACATCCTTTTAACCCACCCCGTCAATATACCCCCAATTCCCCAAAAAACAACCCCCGAAACCCTGGGCTCCACTCTTTACAAACTTCCCAAATTTCCCAAATCCCGCCTTTATTGCAACATTCGGTAAACCACGTAAAAAAAAGACCTTTGCCCCTAAACAAATTTAGTTTTTAAAAATCACGTTCCCCCTCAGCCGGGCCAAATACACATACAAAACTAAGGGAACCCTCCCCCCAGGTTCCATCCACTCTAATTACCCCCCCTCCCCCCCTTCACTCGCCTTACTATAAACGAGCTATTTTCCTTTACCAAAAATGGCAGCCCCCCCCTTTTTCAAACATGTCGCATGTTCCATGTATACTTAAAAACCCACTCAATCCAACCATAACCGGCCCTAAAATTATTTTCCGTAAGAATCCCAAATCCCACCCCAACACACCAAAAACCATTAAACCACTTAAGCTTCCTCTCAGCTCTCAACCCCGAATTTTAAGTAAAAACTTTGTTTTAAAACAAAGGGGTTTTCCTTTTTGCCCCCGGCATTTACTTTACCCCAGTTCTTTTTTGCAACCCCCCGCCCTCCCCCCTTTATTGGAATCACCTTTACAATCCCTTGATCCTGGTTCACCTTCCCTCTCTGCTGTACCTCCACCCAACTTTTTCCCAGGGTGTTGGCAGGATGACACATCATCAAAATCCAGATGCTCAGTCCTTTTTCGGTCCCCCCGCCCCCCCCTGCATTTTGACATCTGAAGTACCGTCCGATGCAAACCCCCACCTCTACTCAGCACCTTCAATACTTTAGACTCTCTCTCGACAAACCGTCATCTCCTGCCATACCCTCATTCACAGCCGTACCAGAACTAAGCCGGGGCTTCCACCTGATCTAGCCCGATTCCTCTAACAAGACATCCAACGCCTTTTAACCCAAAAACGCCCCCACTTTTTCACCCAATTAGGTAGTCCCCTCAAAAAACCCATGTATGTCCAAAGACTGAGATTCTCCTTGAGCGTTACAAAAATGGCGATTCAAGCTCCTTTTCCTTGTCCCCTCCTCACCCTGCCAACCCTTTTTTGGGGCGGGACAAAAGACTGTTTTTCGCTCATCGCCTACCTCGCCCACGGGTCTGTTTTTCCGTTGCTGTTGTGCCGGTACCCACTTTGTTTCCCACACTGCGCCGCGATGTGGTCATATACCCCATAGCCCACACGTACGTTGTTTTCCCCCGCAAAATTACATAGCTTGAGTCCGTAATTCCTTCAAACAACATATGAAGGAATAGGGGGCAAGAGTCATCTTTAAAAATATGTACCTTTTCCCCGCACCTGCATACGGGCCAGTTGCCCACTCCCTGCTGTGGCACGGAACCGCCCATAATACGCAGTTCACTGCTATATCAAAATCAGTCGCCCAAAAGGCATTCCTGTTTTTCACCCAAGGAATGCAGATACATCGGAGTCTCACCGACACAGCTGTATTAATGGGTATAGGCTCCTGATACTGTCGACCACCGCCTCGAGACTCGTGCAGACGTCATTTTTAAACGAAGATTCTTGCGTTCCATTGAGTGCGAAAACCATTATCCCCTCATTTGCTATACCATAGTATCGGAATGATCGCTGGTAAAAATAAACCATGTTGGACCCCCGGACAGCACCAGGGATCACTCAATGCAGACAGTGTTTGATTCTTTTTTGCTATTCAGCCCATGTTGGAAAAAATAAAGTTTCCCCCAACCAACGCTAGGGCACTCAATCGGGTAAACGCGCAAAAACAAACTAAACGGGAGCTCTGCGCACTCGTCCCACTCTGGGAGGCGATGGGGACAATAAAAAATAAAAGGGGATAGCGCAACGCATCCCCTGCTAAAAAAAATTTCGCACTCGATTAACCACTTTTGGGGGTTTAATCGCAGGGGCACAAACCGAGTGCAAGGGTGAGCCTGCCCGGGGAAAACCCCCTTTCGTGATCAGGTATCCCCGGGCCGGGTAAGTATTTTTGAAATTACTGTGACCACCGCTCCAATTATTTCCCCTTCCTTACCATTATAAAAATAGGTATTCTTCTTTACCCAAACAAATCAATTAACTAATTTGGGTGTTTAAATTTCTAAAAAAGATAAATTTTTCTTTTTAAATTTTCACATCCCTTAAAATTTTGGGAAAAAGAGGGTACAGGGGGAAATCTAGGGAAATGAGATTAAATTTAAGAGGAAAGAAAAAATTTTGAAAGGTTCCATAATAGAGAAATTGTGGCTGTATTTAGAGAACAATGTAATTAGGTGCAAGGTAGGTTCAAAATCTGAATTGGGTGATTTTGCTAAAAACACCCTTCTTCCCGCCCAAAACTCTCATCTAAAAAAATTTAATTGTGCAAAAAGCCCCTAAAAAAAGTAATGCATGGGGGGGACAAGATACCTTAAATTTTTTAGGGAAACTTTTGATTTCCCCAAGGACGCAAAAGGGTAAAAAGGGTATTTAAAACTTGTGTAAATTTTAAAAAAGGCCCCGGTTTATCCCCTATATGTAAACCCGGGCCCCACCATTGCCAAAAAGAGCAAATTTTAGTCTTTAGCAACAAAATCCGCCCCGCCGCGTGGGAAAAAACGTATATATTTTCCCAAAATTCAGATTTTATTAAATAGATGGCCATACTGTATTTAAAAAATATTTATTCAAGAAAAAGGAAAACCCGCGCTGCGCAGACGAGACTCGCCATCTTTGGTTTTTTAATTTGTATTTGAAAGTTGGTTAATGGGGGAGAAATTTTTCCCGGGTCTAGAGGTTAAAATTGTGTTACCAAACCTCTCAAATAGGAACAAATTTGGGGATGTGTTCTGCTAACTTGGATACAGGCACTGCAAGAAGCTCCAGGAACCCAGATAACTCTCTAGATTTTTGTATAATTCTGGCCCGTGTTTTTTATAAATTTTTGTTTGTGAGGTTTTCTGAGTTTATACAAATTAATCTCCAGTCAGATTTTGAGTGATATTAAGATATTCTCTTTCTGTTAGGTAGTTGTGTATATCATAATTTTTTTTTTAATTTTTTTAATATACAGTCCACAAATTTATATATTTAGCAGTATTCCTGGTTAGTAATTTTCATTTAATTAATAGGTCCAGAGAACTTGTGGGATATGACTGGTAGGAACGAAGGGGAACATTTTTGCGACCTAGGTGTCCCCAAATTCCTACTTGTCTATTAAACCCCATAAATAATAATTATCTTTTTTATCATTTTCCCGTTTTGTAATTTAAAGTTACATTCAAAAAAATCAAATTTTTTCCCCATTTTTTTTTACTCCTTCTTTCTTTCAAAAAAGGGAAATTTTTTCTAACATAAGCCTCAATTTTTATAAATTAAAACCATTTGCAGTTTAAGTCTGAAGTGTTCTTTTTTTAAATTTTTCAGGAGATAATTTAATCGTAGAGAGCATTCTTTTTCTAAACTTTACCCCTTTACCATCTGTACCGGGAAATTCTTTGTTTAAGAATTACCTCTGAATTTTACTTTTTTTCTTTTTTTTTCATCCCAAATCTGAAAAAAGATTCTCATTTTTTTTCTCATGATGACAAATATACTTTTTTGGGGGGAATTAAAATTTTCATTTTTTTAAGCCTAAATTTTTTCTTCCCAGCTAAATCTTTCTAAAATTTTAGTATAATTTAAAAATTCATATGAAAGAGCAAACCTAAAAGGATTATAAAACATCTGGAAAATAAGGAGGGTTTGGTAATCAAGTTTTAATCCAAGACTGGATAAAAGGGTCGCCAATTACTTGCAATAAAAAAATTCAAATAGCTTTAGGCACCCTCACTGAAGCCTCGTATAGGGATAAGTCTTATTTTTACTCATAAATGTTTTGCGTCTTATTTAATAACTTAATTGTCAGTAAATGATTGCTAGCCAGACTTATTTAACATTTTCTAGAAATTTTGTGTTTTGCTAAGAATCTTAGTAAAGTAATTGCCTCATGCAGTGCACCTTACCAGAGCTACTTGGCAGCACGAGTGCTCCTACTGCTCAGTCGTATGTTTCAGAGTGGGACTGTGTCGGCTTCAGTCTGGAACCTCCTGTGGGACTTGGAAAAAAGTGTGAGCTGGCAAACTCCTCCTCCACCTGTGCCGTACAACCTGTCGTTAATTTTTACCTAGAATCTGAAGCAACTCCTACATCTACAGATGTTGCTTTCACAACACCTACAGCTCGTGCTGCTACAACATACAAAATGTCTAGTGCTACACTTACAACTACAGTTTCAGACGTTACCGGAACTGCAGTTGCTACCACGATCCCAACTAACAAAGTTTCTTCAGCTGCAACCACTACAGCGATTA